AAATGTCCAGAAATTCTCTCACTTCTGACTCCAATGTGTTCTTATTATATTTTCACTTAGAAAATCAACAAAACATCATCTGACCAACACTTCCAAACTTTTGCGTATGACTGTGTTTAATTATCAAAGCAAGTTTGACATAAAAATTTTAAAAAGCACAATTTCACAGATGCAACTGGTGAAGACGCAGATGGAGCTGCAGCAGATGATCCAATTGAGAATGACGAAGATCGATGAGATCAAGTTCTCGGTAGAGCTCCGAAAAGTAGGTGAAACGCTCGATCTACTGTATTCTGTATTCTATTTTAATTTCACTGAATTAACAAGCTTACATTAGGCATATGCTCACCACTTACTCCATTCAGTCATTTCATTACAGTGAAAGCTTCTTCATTATTTAGAAAAACACAGAGAAAGAGATTGCAGACAGTGTTGAGGTCTTCACTGCTCTGATGCGCTCCATTGAGAGAAGCCAGGCTGAGCTGCTTAAGGTGATGGAGGAGAAGCAGAGCGCAGCTGAGAGGAACGCTGAAGACCTCATCAAAGAGCTTGAGCAGGAGATCACTGAGTTAAAGGGGAGAGACACTGAACTGGAGCAGCTCTCACACACTGAGGACCACCTTCACCTCATACAGGTCAGTGTCCCATATCTGCTCAATGACAACGCATGTACAACAACACTGCCCATGCTGAGGGATTTCTCCTCTCTCCTACTGGACTGTAGATTTGTTCATCCCTGCGCAGCCCTCCAAACAAGAAGAACTGGACCGGCATCCACATCGACACTTATGTGAGTGTGGAGCCGGTGAGGAAAGCTCTGTCTCAGCTTCGGGAGACTCTAAATGAGAAACTGTGTGACTCAGGTGAAGCTTTTTCATACTTGACATGTCTTTCAGATACACACTCCTCATTCAACAATTATACAACAATTACACTAGATGGTGGAGCATTGCTGTGAGGATTTGATTGCAAGCCACAAGAGTATTAGTGAGGTCAGTGTCACTGTGGATAGCAAATGCCACTTCAGCTCATCCCAAAGGTACTGGATGAAGCTTCATCACTCCAGAGAACATAGTTCCACTGCTCCACAGACCAAAGCTGGGAGGCTTTATACCCCTCTAACCAATGCTTGGCATTGGGAACGGTGACCTTTGTGCAGCTGCTCCAAATCATCACAGTCTATTGGCAATAATTTTGAACAGCCAAGACATGTGTGGTGTCCAGATTTAGTTTCTTTAGGTTAGCGCTGGAGCTAAGGCTAACACTTGAAGTCAATTGTCACCGAAATCTTTTCTGAAAATACATCCCCAAAATGTCTCTCAACCTGCTCAAACCACATCCAGGTCTTCGTTAAACTTGTGCAGAGATGTTGATGTGGACAATATGACTTAATGTGAAGTGAAAATCAACATAACGTCACTGTGTAGCTAAATGTTGCAAAATTTTACTTATTTTTACAGTTTACAATAAGTCATACCTTGTCCTAAACCACACTGACAATGATCTTACCGAAGACCTGGATGTGGTTTGACCAGGTTGTGAGAAGTTTTGGGGGGTATTTTATGGAAAAGTTTTGGGTGACTATTGACTTCTAGTGTTTGTGAGCATTGTTAGTCTCATATATTCAGCACCAAACTAAAGAAACTAAATGTAGACAGCAAACATGTCTCAGCTAACCAACCGCATCTAGTATACGTTGAGAATTGTGTAAATTAGATTTATTTGCTCACTTATTTGATGGGTTGTCTGGATACTTTTTGTGATTCATTTTTTTATTATTTTTCATTTAAAGAATAACAACCCCCCATTCCAGCCCCGACCCACACACATGGGACGTACACACACACACAAAAAGTCATAGCTATAACATAGGACACATGAAAATGAGTTACATCATTCACAACTTAAACACAGCATATAGTTAAGCAAGCACAAGGGTCCTGATTTTAGGAATTCCGTGAATCCATTTATCAAGAGTTCTAGGGTGCAGCATTGCCAAGTCTTGCAGATGACAGTTCCAGATATAGGATATCCAGTAAGGTATGGAGCCAGTGCCATATGGACAGGTTGTGAGGGGGTAGCCAATGCTGGACAATGACTTTTTTTGCTGCTGTTAAGCCAGCCAGCCATATTTTGCGGGAACTTTCCGTAATGGGGAACTTCGAGTTATCATTCGGTAAATGAAGTTTAGGTCTGGATACCTTTTGGACATATAGTGAAAGTTTACAGAAAGAATATTTTGTGAGAGGGCTATATGAAAAGTTTTTGATCAATAAAATGTTTTTAAAAATGTAATCCATGATTAGATCAGAACAATCTATTGTAGATTAAACAAATAATAACTTTTGTTGTGATTAACCTACACAGAGCTGAAGAGGATTCAGCAGTATGCAGGTATGCTGTGCTTTCTGACTTTCTCACCCTTTTCTACCCATTGAACTAAATTAAGACCCATTATTCAAAATTCACTATAAAATGTAATCGAAGAGTAACTCATTCTGATCCACTGCATGATGCATTTATGACTTTATATTCCCTGTATGCTCTTATCACATGCTTATATTTCTCTCTCAGTGGATGTGACTCTGGATCCTGATACAGCTCATCCCAAACTCACCCTGTCTGAGAATGGAAAACAAGTGACCTGTGGAGACATAAAACAGAATCTCCCTGACAACCCAAAGAGATTCACCTATTACATCATGGTGCTGGGAAGGGAGGAATTCTCCTCAGGAAGGTTTTATTATGAAGTGCAAGTCAAGGGAAAGACTGAGTGGAGTTTAGGAGTTGCCAAAGGGTCCATCAACAGAAAGGGGGCGATTACACTGAGCCCTAAGGACGGGTTCTGGACCGTGATTCTGACCAACAAGAAGGAGTACAAGGCTGGTACTGGTCGCTCAGTCCCCCTCTCCCTCAGAGGAAAGCCCCAGAAAGTGGGGGTGTTTGTGGATTATGAGGAAGGCCTGGTCTCCTTTTATGATGTGGAGGCCAGGTTTCGTATCTACTCTTTCACTGGTCAGTGTTTCACTGAGAAACTCTATCCATACTTCTGCCCTGGTGTTAATGATAAGAATAACTCAGCTCCACTGATCATCTCACCCATAACAAAGACTGGAGGAAATTAAATCGAAATCAGAGCAACTTAAAGAAAATGTCTTAGTGGAAAAATAACCTCAGGCGCATTTCTGAAAGCTTCATAATGCTAAGTACTTTGTTAACTTGATCTTAAAGGAGCATTCCCAGCCTAAAACTAGTATTTGATTTTTTTTACATTTTACACTGTCTTCATGTTTTCCTTCATCAATGTTCTCTCACTGCAATACCCAGCATGCATTGCGCAAATACTTCATACCGGGAACCCCTGCAGTGCTAATCCTGACTTATAGCCTAGCAAGTGATCAATAGCTAATGAAGAGCTAGCATTAGTGCAACACTGGTAACCAAACAAAATCTTGAATGTCCTTATTTAGCTTAAGATGGACAGTAAATTCCCCTTCAGAGAAATGAAGCCAAACCAAAGTCAAACTTTGCTAACTTTAGCTTTAAGCTTGTTGTACGGATCTGATAGGTCATTTCTGTCATTCTCTGCATATAACTAAAGTAGGCCTATAACATAAAATTGCTTGTAAATGACTAGTTACTTAATGAATGCATATAATTGAATGAATCTGAGTCTACTGCTTTGTTTTAGTGAATTAAAGTGACTGTTTACTTGACAAGTGTATGTTTGGTCTGTGCAATCTTGTTGAGTAAAATGCACATTTTTTAGTAAAGGTAAAATCTTTATCTTTTTATGTGCGCCCTACATGACCACGAGTCCAATGAGGAGAACGGTCAATCATTTTACATGGGATCCATTGCCATTTTCCAAATGGATGGTAAGAATCAGAGACATCATGTCTGTGCAGTTTTGTATAAAAGCATTTTTGAGAGATTTTGTGATTTATTGAATATCACTCTGTTTAACAGAACCTTGCATTCTTATGACAATAAATTCAGTTAATCTGCACCACTTGACAAAACATATAAAGTATATTTTAAATATATTCTACATTTACATTTTTTGTGATTGCCTTTTTTTGTGACGTAATTACAGCTGCGTTATGTTTGCATGTTTGTGATATAGATTGAGCCATAGTAGATTAGCAAGTTAACCAATTTTTAAAAAGTGCAATAGATAACAATTCTGGTATGATACGTGCATATACGTCGCACAAGTCTGTCTCAAAGGCACACTTTGAAAATAGTGTCCACGAGATATGTTGACGTCAACAAAGTGTGGACCAGTACCGCAGGTCTTAGTGGGAAAGGCCTCAACTTTTGACAACTCTTGTAACATCGAGTACATTCGACCACCCAGACCCCTCTGGCATCTGTGCAGCGTTTAACTTCGTGTTATCGGCTGAAGTCTTCCAGTAAAATTGAGTACATGCTCTCCATGTGGCCTGAAGCTGCTCTGATGTTTGTTAGTGATGGGCACCGCCAGTCTGCGCCTGCAGTCACGACTAATGGATTAACGAGTCAGACTCACTGGCCGAAGTCATTTTAACTCATTTACCCCCAAAGGCTGAAAAATGTACAATAAGAAAATCTGACACTGTACATTTGTGCCCCAAGAACCTCTGTAGTAAACGGAATCCAAAATTTCCTCTATGGTCATCAGTGGGGATGAATATGAAGTTGACTTGACTCGTAATGAATCACTGAATCGGGCTGCGTCCGAAAAGCTGGATGACTCTTCCTTTCCTAACCGTTTGGTTTTGTCTGATCTGTTGTCAGTGGTCGCCCTAAATATACTGGGAAAACTGACTAGCATGTGGATCCACACGACAAGCAGATCAGGCAAAATCAAGTAAGGCAGTGAGAAGAGGTATTTCCGGATGCAACCAATTCTGATTTACCGAATCGGACATTTGGGAAGAATCGGTTCGGTAAAGAGATTCGAACTGTCGGCGGAAGTGACGGTGTTTGTTGTTGTCCCTCCTCGCCGTCGTAGCATGGATGGAAATCTCTATCGCCCCGCTAACTGTTACTCTCCCACCGCCCCACGCTTTAGGATTAGGATTGCTGAGCAAGTTTGAGATGTTTTTGACCAAATCTTTCAGGCACTCTCGACGTTAGACAGCAGTGTGCTGTGGCTGAGCTCCCGCTCTCTCTCCGTCTGCAGCTCCTCTTTACAGACCGTACAGGCGCGCTCTCCGCAGCCGAGCCAGCCAGTTAGCTTCCATACTCAAAATGGCGGACAACGAAGAGGAGAGCAGTAACTCGGGCAGCGCTGCTGGAGCAGGAGCAGGAGCAGGGGGGGCAGGGGGCGATGCCCTCGGTGGGACCCAGTCGCAGGTTCTTCTGTCGGCCAGGACTGGAGCGGCCGCTGTGGATGAAAACCGCGGCGGCGTTACGGTGTGCAGCACGACCGTTAGCGGCGCGGGGGACGCTGAGCGAGGCCTGCCCCAGCAGGGACACGGTGGGTCGGGTGCTGAGACCACAGAGGTGGACGGCGGGGGCTGTCAGGAGGTCCTCGGCCACATTTTGGGAACTGAGGTTTTGACGTCTTATGTACAGACGTCCGACAGTGTGGAGGGAGCCGTGGCCGCGGAATGCACCACCGTGAGCAGCGACTTTTTAAACGCTCTGGCTCCCGCCACCACCATCATTTACCTTCAGCCCGACGGCAGCTTCGTGGAGAGCTCGGGGCTGTCCGCCGAGGAGCAGCAGCAGCTCTTCGAGCAGCTGTCGAAGCAGCAGCTGGTCCAGCTCACGGGCAGCGAAGCGGCTCGTATCTTCGAGCAGCCCCAGACCTCCAAACCTCCCGCCGCCGCCGCCCCCTCTCCCGCTCCTTCTTCCACCGTGAAAACCGGGACTATAGCAAATGTGGACGTGCAACAGGTTATAGAGCACGTTAACAAGTCCCAAGTGATCGCTCAAGCAGAAGCAGCCCGTGCTCACACGACAGCAGCGCCCAAAACAGTGCAGAGGACTGTCGCGGCTCAGCCCACCTCATACATAACGCTCGAACCGGGGAACCTGATTTCGGGGGGCCAGCTGACCGCAACTATTCAGCCGCAGCCCTTCACCATCGTCCAGAATGCAGCCCAGCAGCTGCAGAGCGCCGCCAAGCAGGTCGCCCTACAGCAGTCGCAAAATGGAGCCCACCCGCTCCAGCCAAAGGTAAGATGTGTCAAGAGTTGTATAGTTCAGTGGTCCTCATTCTTGACTCTGGAGCCCCCTCTGCTCTGCTGACCCGCTTCAACGCAGGATGTCTTCGTCCATCTAACGTTAAGCTGAATCAGGTATGTTGGAGCAGACGTAGCAAGACGTGCTGGCCAGGAGGCCTACAAGACCAGAGAGAAGCATTGATTACACTGTACTGTGTAAGCTTGCCATTCATAATGGCCAGAACCTTGTTAGAATGACTCAATCCCCAACCCCCAGACTGACCATTTTTAAGCATTTTTGCATAATTCAATCATTAAGTTGTTCAGAGAGTTTTTTTGTAAAGTTTTAGAGATTTTTCTGTGAAACACTCGGTTCTAGAGAAGCTTACCAAGTCAGAATGTTTCATAGTGGTGCATGGACCCAAACGTCTTAAGAGTTTAATGCCTCTAAAAGCTCCCGCATAAAGTTGTTACATGAAATCATTACAAATATGCTGCCTGATGTCTGAGACATAGTTTTATGATAGTTTTGTGATAAGATTTTCACCTAAAATCTAGTTTTAAAAGCCATTCAATGTGGAGAGGTACATGCAAGGTGTTATAAGGCTAAAACACAAGACAGCTTTTTTTTTAATTACACTATTTTGACATTTATCAATATTACATATAAACATTTAGAGGGTACATGTAGGTTCACTGGTCATTTTACATGGCAAAATAAAGGGGCTATATTTGTGTTGTGTAATTAGCCCTGGTTCCTATCATCACTATTGTAAAGAAATCTGAGTCTTTATATTTCTTTACAGTTAATTAGCCTATATCACATCAGAGCACTCTAAATGACTTCCTTTGCACGTTGATGAGAGAATTATGTTGAAATTTTGTTAAAAAATGTGGAAATACCCTTTACTCTGACTGTGTTGTTCTCTTCTGTACTGTAAAATAGTTTAGTTAACATTACCAAACTTAATTTCAAACTGTAATGTAAAAGTAGAAAATTTGTCTGCTTACAGATCTTCATTATGATTATAAGTTTGTTCTTGATGAGCCTCCTCTTCTCTTTCCCCCTCATATTACTTAAAATTTGCCATAAGGTTTCTGATTTATAGAGTTATTTTTTATATGCAAAACAATTATCCACTTTCGACCAAAGTATAATTGTGATCAAATATTCTTGATATTCTGTTCATTAGTGGATCAGTGATGGGACTGATTACATCAGTGTATTGGGTAATGTTATTCTGAATTATATGCCATTTGTCAGAAATGTTTTTGAAAGGATTTCTGCTTGTCCTAATCCATCATTTCCGAACTTATGGCACTGAAACCAAGACAAATGCTGATAACTCACTTGTGCAGTCTCTGTAAGCAATTTTACAAAAACAAGTGCCCAAATTATTATTCTTTAGGATAAGGATTTAAGATATCCTTGTCGAGTCATTTAGGCCTGCCTTTATGTCATACCATTAATATTCATGTGCTCGAGCCAGTGGAACTCACCTCATATTTTGGTATTTTCCCTGTTTTTTCACACCTAATCCAATTAATCAGCTAAATCATTATTCAGTTAAAATGGTTGTGTTGGTGCAGTGAAAACACTAAATAAAACGTGCAGGGCAGGGGTACTTCAGGGCTAGTGTTGGGAGCCATTGGTTTGGACTAAGTAGTTAAGACTCTTTTTAAGAGAGATTGATTATTGTTAAGTATTTTTTCAGCCTGTGATTTTTTTTTTTTTGTCTGTTGTTTAAATTTCAGCCTGCTGAACCCATCCACATTCAAGTACAGGCCCCACCGAAACAGGAGATTAAGCAACGGCAGGCTGCTCCCATCACAATCCTGCGCCACAAAGTTTGCCAGTAAGCCAGCCTCTGGTGAAGGTTTCCACTGTGGGAACGGTCAGCACTCCTCAAATCATCCACATTACCCCTGTGCCTGGACAGCAGCAGTATTTTTTACAGAATCCAGGAGAGCCCCCCATTCAACTTCTCCTTCAGAAGCCAGCTCCAGTGGTTAGCAGCATTTCTGTTCCGATTGTGCGTAAAGTCCAGGCTCCTGCCACTGTTTCTAGCCCTGCTCCTGCCAAGAATCCTGCAGCCAAGCCAACTGCGGTGGCCACTCCTCCTACGTTGATCTTGACTCCGACTCCTCCCACCAGTGTCTCGTCCCCAACCACTAAAGTATTGACTCCGCCAACTAAGGTCACTACAGTGGTCACCAAGGTTTCGGCTCCTGCCATCGAAAAGGAAAAGGAAAAGGAAAAACCCAGAGTCAAGAATCGCCAGAAGAAGCCTCAGAAAATTCAGACCCGCTCTGGCCGGGTATCCCGACCGCCTAAGCACAAGGTGAAGGACTATAAGTTCATCAAGAATGAGGACTTGGCCGAGAGCCATCAGTCTGATTCAGATGACTACTCTGAGATTAGTGTGGAGGATGAGGATGAAAAGAAGAAGGCAGCAGATGGTTTAACACGCCGCCATAAAGCATTCAAATGTGAAACTTGTGAGAAATCCTATATAGGCGTGGCTGGTTTGAACAGACACTATAGATTAAATCCCAGTCATGACAAAAGCCAGACTTGCCCTCCATCAGAAAAAGACTCCAAACCATCAGAGGAAGCGACAGTAACGGAAGCTACCAAAACTAGTCCTGTGAAAGTGGCCACCACTCAAAAAGTTAAGATGCCTCTTCTTTACATAAGCATGCACATAAGAAAATAAATCACTTTGTGTTTTTTAGATTCACAGTATAGCTGTTTGCTTAGCAGAGCCCCTTTGTTGTTCTAGAGGTGTTCACACCGAGTTACAGATGATAAAAATGCACATCAGGTTTTGAAAATGAACACATACACGTCTGTCCAAAACTGACAGACTGCATTGCTGTATATATATATATTTTTTAACTAGAGCCAGCTTGAAAAAAAAAGTTAATGATAATGCCTTCCCTCGCTAAATATATGCTTGTCAGACAGCAAGCAAACGTAGGACCAGAGGTGCCTAACAACATTGCCTACATTAGAACTTTGTTTAACGTTAAAAGCTGTTTTCCCAGTTTTGCCAGTCTGCACTGAGTTTATTCAGCAATTGTTCTCTGCAGTCTCTGTAAATGTAGCTTTTACTGTACGAGGACACTCGATCTCAGTTTCAGTTAGCGCTCACTAATAGCATAATCATGTTTGATTTTGAGAAGCGACACGTCTTTATATTTCAATCCAAGATCAATGTAAAATTCAATGAGATGCTCCATCTCTGAGCTTAAGCAAAACACAGCTTTTGCAAGCGATTGCAAACCGTTTGCATCAGAGTGCAAAACATTTGCGAGGGAACGCAGTGTCATTAACTTTTTTTTTTTTTTATAACCACGAATGTATGAAAAAAAAAGGATGAGCACTGTCTAATCTGGGCATATTTACAGGTGCAAGCAGACTCTACGAGGCAGATAGAAAGACGCAGACGTGGGAGGCCTAAGGGATCTGGTGGAAGTAACCTTCCCAAAAGGCTAGGACGGAAACCAAAGCGAGGGCGGAGGGGCCGGCCGCCTAAATACCTTACCACAGCAGCAGCTTTGGAACAGCAGGAACAAAGACGGAGAACTCGACTGAAAGAGGTAAGTTAAAACTGCTTTGTGCAGATCTGGTCTTTTAAAGCACTTCAGTAGAGATGATTTTAATTTTAGATATTTTTCCGCTCTACTCTTAACTGTCATTACACCAATGACATGTTTTATCATTTATTCACACAAGATGGCTGGTAGTTGTTGATTCTTATTAATTGTTGCTGTATATTTTATATCCTTAGTAAATATGTTCTAAAATGAGTGAATTAAGTGTTTGGCAGCAGTCTGAAAAACAGATTGCAACCTGTGATGAGTGAGGCCCAGGGCTAAAGGTGGCCTGAGAGGATGTTTAATTTGGCCCATCATAAAGTTTCCAGGTCTTCACTTCCTTTCTTTTAGAATAGTATTTTTAAAGGGACTTTTGTTTACTTTTGTTTTGTTATATTTAACAAATACAGCATGATATATAATAAGTTTTCATTATTATTTACCCGTCAAAACAAATGAAGAGAAAACACAGTTTTGCTAATATAATTAAGGTGGTATTAATCAAAATATACCATTAATATTTCTTAAATACATAAAGCCCAGTCCCAGCAATGTATATCATTAAAAAGTCTTGAATGATAAAGCACTTGAATCACTTCACAATTTGAGCACAATGTATTTCTCGTCTCTCTTCAGTTTATACGGCAGTATGACGAAGAAGACCTGATGGAGATTGTTCTTCCGCACCTGGCTAAGGTTATGACAGTATGGGAGTTTGTGCTGATGAAGGTAAATCTGTATATTCTGATATTTCAGAACTACTCTGATATCTGTTTGTGTGTTATCAGTAGTTTGAGCATGTGAGCATGACTCCAACTACTAATTCTATTCCCAAGAATCACTAAATTTAAAGATTTACAAAAGTAAAATAAGGTGTGGAAAACTTCAGTATAAAACAAAAACTGGATCAAACGATGCATGTTATGGAGAATATTACATTTTCTGTTTTCTTCCACTGAAGGTAGAAAAAGGCCATCCATCAAATCAGCAATTCCCCAGTGTGTATCATGAATTTGAGCTACTTCACAGCGAAGTGAAGAAGATGGCACAAGAGCACTTTAGTATTTCACCAGCTTCCCGACCAGCTCTAGAGGTTAACAACATGGAAGTAAGAAACCTGTTACTAAATAATATAGACAAATCAAAAGCTTTTTCGTTTGTGTTTTTATTTGTTTTTTTGGTCACAGTGGTTCTTTTAAGTGGTTCTTTTTAGACGGTTAGGATTAGGTTTTGGGTTGAGATTAAGAATACATCTACTTAATGTAAGTAGTGTATCATCAGTCCATCTACAACATGTTTACTTCATTGTATTCAGATGCTGCACTACTGCTACTTACTTCACTGATATCTTGTTGTGTTATTGATAATTTGTTAAGAGTTAATTAATCCTCTACAAAGGATCACTCCAAATAAAATGTTACCGTTTTTTTATCTCTTGGTAAAACAATTTAGATAGTGCCCTATAAACAAAAATATTGTTATGTTGTTATTATTATTATTTTACACAGTTAAATGTAACGCACGTTGTGTAATGGAAGTGGTATTATCTTTCTTTCTAAATCCAATAATGAATTCTGTTTCTTTGAAGGTCTTAAAATCACTGGGTGTTGCTGATCTGCCTAGTGCACTGACACTCCTGGACTCCACTCAGGGACAACAGGGTACAGTAACAGCAAATCAGACTATGAAGAGTCTACGGAGTATTGAGGTGAGCGTATGGTCTCGTGCTGTTGCCATCAGTCCTGGAGTACCCTTTACTCTACACAATTATCTGTTTTCCTGCTGTAACATGCTGACTTATTCTTAAAAAAGCTTTGTTAATTAGTTGACTAGTGAGATCTAGTGTGTTAGGAGCAGCAACAATAAAATGTGCAGAGCAAGGGATACTCTAAGACCAGGGTTGGGAACATGATTATATTTATCTTTCTGATAATTCACATTGCATCGCAGTATGCTCTTTTGAATATATTGTAGATATCGACACAGGGTGGAAACCTTAAATAGGATTCTGGGGGATCTTTAAAGTCCTATAAAGTCTCAAAATGTCTGAAAATGTAGTGTTTATACTATTAGAGGTACTAAATTTAGATCAGGTAAATATAGATCAGGTGTCAGCTACAATAAGCTCAATCTAGTTCTAATCCCTTTGTGTGTTAGCACAGGATGAAATCTAAGCATTATTCATCCCTGTATAAAATGAATATGAAAAGTTATCAGTTCAGCATGCATGCTCCTATGCATATAATGGAAAAATGAGTGATTTAACTGCATATTAAAGTAACTCAATCAATCAAATTTTGTTGTAAGCCAACATCAAACACACTATACAATGGTCATTTTGAAAAAGTAGGCTAAAATATAAAACATGTCAGTCTAGAATGTCACGTTACGCACGCGCTAAAATGAACTCATTTTATTGTGGTTTTAACTGGCAGAGCAGCATAAGGTTACCCAAACTGTGCAGCATTATCAGTGAAAACACACATAGTGGATTGGAGTCCGTATTGGCTGATACTCAGTATTAAAGGACAAAGCCTGGGGAAAAAAACTAATCAGAACATCACTAATTAAATTGTAAGATGATGCCTTAAGGCCATGTTGAAAATTGAGTCATCTTGTTATTAAAATGTATCCAGAATAGACCATCTATCAAAAATGTCCAAACTGACTGCTGCTATAGGACAGCAGAACTGATTAAGTCAAAAATACTAAAAAGACATTGTAAGACTGTGCATTCTCAAAGCATACATCCATGTTTTTTTCAACCAATTGGTTTGAATTAACTTTATTATATGCCATCTTTGAGTGTGTTGCTATGCTGTGTAAATGATATTTTTCTTATGCTGAGGTATTAAAAAAGCATTGAATTTGATTTTTAAAACTACGCAGCAACACTGCTAAAGAGCACTGATCAGCTGCGTATTTCATTACAAAGAGAACATAGTTAACTGGATTTATTGCAGCACATAGTGTGAAACCTTAAATAAAAACCATTGCGTTCACCGTTTTTAATAATATTTTTTAAAATCTGGCATTCGTATTTCTTTTTGCCTGTTCCAACTTATCAAACCTCAGATACACAAAAATATTGTGATGCATATTAAATCTTAAAAGGGTGTTGTGATATTTAAGATTTGGCCTTATTGCCCACAGTTGTTGTCAAATGTTTAGCAGTCAGAATGATTGTATTCAGTTTCATCTTTGTGGGTTTTTCAGCGTGTCATGTGACTTTGTCTTGCTGTCAAACGACTAGACAGATCTATATATTAATTTGTTTTCTCTACTTTTGTAATTTTCAGAATACCAAAATGTTACCTCCAGCGAAGAGGTTCAAAATGGAAAATTGTGGCGGAGAGAAAAATGACTCACCAATTAATCAGAATGGTATTCAGAAGGACGAGGGTAGCGAGGGTTCAGTGTTATTACGGGAGCCCCAGGTGGTTTTGACTCGTCTAGAGAACTTGAGCTCTGGAACTCTTGTTGACGGTGAAGCCCTGCCTGGCTCTGATGAAACACTTGAAATAAGGACAGAAGAAGAACCTATGGACATAGGAGTTGTTTCTCTTGATTCAGAGGCTACCAAATGTCAAGAACACCCTGATAAGGAGGCTTGTGAAGATCTGAACAGTAGAGGAACTGTGGATGTCACAGATCAGATGAAACAGTTAGGACAGGCCCTGAGCTCAGATGCAGTACACGAGAGTGCCCCTCAGGACACTGCTCCACAAGACGGAAGTAGTGACCCCCCAGAGATGGGCAGCTTGGGTGAGGCAGGAACTGTGGAAGAACCTGCTGTGATGCAACCTGCTCAGGCTGAAGAGGTTTTCATTCAGACAGCAGAAGGCCTTGTCAGGCAGAGTGCTGAGGAGCTAGCCTCCAAAGGTATTGTCATTGTGAATGGGCCAGATGGCACCACCATGCATATTGAGGCACCAGAAGGGGTGCCGTTAGAAACTGTCCATGCTCTACTCGGCATTGAAACAGAAAGAAAGACTTGAAGTTCCAGCAGCTTCCCAAACCCATCTGTAATTGGTTGTCCACTCCAAGCAAACTATGTCTGCATTGTGGTGTTGTTTTTTTTCTTCAATGAACTTTTTATTGTAATTCTTTGTACATTTGTAAAAACAAAGTATTATCATTATTATAGATTAGTGCATTGTTTTGGTTCAGACTTTGGTTAAAAGTATGTAACATTTTGGAATTTTGACACATAGACTTTTTACCTTCGCATTTCTTTATTCTAGCTGCCAAACGCTTTTCTTCTCCCTCTCCTTGCAGCAATGTTGCAGGGTTACACATACCCATTTTCCATGGATTTTGAGTTGTGTATAGTTGAAGGGAGAAAATACGTTCCACTACAGCATGAACGCTTGAAGCCGAGTTTAAAATCGAAAAAATCCTTTAAGCATTGAGTAACTGCTATGGGTTCATGGTTCCGTATTAAACCTCGTTTGAGGATGGTTCATGGAGTTGGATTAGATGTTCTTTGTAAGCATCTACTGTTTCTTGGGATAAAAAACAAGCAGAATGTGAAAAACCCAGAAAGCAAATGGATAAACATGTCTTAAGTGTCTGAAATCCCAGGTTACCTCTTTGTACGTGTTTCATTGTTTATTACATGTTAAATAGTAGTTTGTCCAGTTCAATGGTCGTTTAAAAAGCACTATTTTATTACTTTTTATATAATCTTTGGGCATACTGTGTTTTTTCAAACATCTCAACATTTGTAATACGAAGGGAAAACATGAGCAGATGACATTAAAACAATCTTTGAGAGTGAGCTTTTGGAATTGGGGCTTTCTATACAAGGTGCCTGAGGGACCTGTATCGTAATTCTCATACTACACATTTACAGTAGTTTGACAAATTAAGTGTAAAATGAGAAGTCAAAAAGCTGCATCCCTTTTTGGAGATTTTTTACACACAGTGCTTATAGCAATTACTAAAATTAAACTGTTTTTCTGTATTTCACAGGATGCAGATTAGTACTGGCTGGTATTAAGCACTATGACAGGGACAAAGTATGCAAAATGAGTGGGATCATTTTGGCCAGTCAAATGTAGAGAAAGTTAGAGAAAACATAAAATGAGTTATGACCATAAAAATAGATTTGTTGTTTATTTTAATTAAGCAGTGCTCAATTGCTTAAATGGGCAAGTCACCCCACTGCAGATTGTAGAAATGAAAATAGAAACACTAAAACTTTATACTTGTGTATTTGATGGTATAAATATATATCACAATTATGACATAATGAGAACTGACAGATGTTTCAAGTATAACCACTTGAAAAATGATCAAGAGCTTCCAAAATTCCATTCAACATTCCATTCTGCACAGAAAGAGCATTGTTCAGTACTGAAACAATAATTTCCAAGAGATAGCCTTGTAAAAGCTATAGCAAAAAGAAAACCACTCAAACGTAATTGTTTATAGGTAAATTTGTTTGTTTGAAAGAAGCTGCATTGTGTAAAACCTAGAAATAACAGAACCGGATATATATTTGGATACAAAAGAAATGCAGAAATGGGCTTAATGGGCTGTTAATGTATCATTTAGATTGTGTTTCCATAATTTTTGCCAATGCATTTTTGCCATTTGCCATTTTGCTAAATGCATAAGGCAAAATGTGTAGTAAATATAACAATCCACACATCAGCCTGGCAAACTTGCTTTTTTTTAAGCTTTGCCAGGCCGAGCAAAAAAAGTAGTGAAGACTGAATTTATCATTCTTTAAATGCTGAAAACTGAGGCCTGTCAAGGTTTTGGTTCCATCTGACTTGCAGTTCAGTGAAGATTTGTCTTAATGTATGAGCTCTTTCTCAGCTGATTGCTGAACTTTCCAACTTGATAATGAGCCTCTTTTTTGGATGTGGAATAAGCAGTGTTGCACTAAGCACCAATGGGGAATCACCATTGAAAATTCTTTTTAGCCTAGGCTTAGCCTTCATCAGGGTCTGGGAAACTGGCCCAGTACATACTTTTGAAAAACATCACACCATAGTCACACAATTGTCATGATTGATAGCCATTTTTCACTAGGCCAACAACTGTACGACCCCACAGTATGCTGTGTAATCCACATGCAAGCTAATCCCAGCATACCCATGGTACCATTTCAGTATGTTCCATTAGCAATTAAAATGTTTCTGGCTTCTAGAAAAAACGAGTTTCTCCGGTTTTGAAATCCTATATTTATGGGAAATTCCTCTGCTCTAACTTTCCATGATTTTTTTTTTTAAATGAAGTCCTGGTGCAGTGTGGAGAACCTGCCACCAATCTGAATCATAGCGCTCTGTGACCTGTTTCCATTAGTAAGCTCTCTAACAGAAGTTTTGTGCTGTCCTCAATGTAGGGCTGATACAACCAGGAGGAGAGGTAGACCATGGAGAGATCAGTGTTAGTCGTGTGGGCCAGTTCCTGCAGGATGGTTTGCTTGAGGGCCAGCTCCTGCTTGTAGGCCTCGTAAATCCTGGATGACGCTTCGGCTACAGTGGACAAAAAGAATCAGAGGGTAATGTATGTTTGTACAATGTAATCGTAATGCAGCATAATGCAATACTTAGTACAGTATATCAGCATTTTTGGTGTCCTAAAATGTATAAATTGAAATTTACCTTGCTAGTTCCTGTGCCTGGCCATACTAAACACAACTTATCGTACCATTAAAAAGAAAAAACTGTTTAATCTTTGGATCAAAGTAATGACTTTTGTCTGCCTCTAAAATGTCTTCTGATTTTTGATTACATCACCACGCACCAACATGCAGGGAATAACAGTATTAACAAATAATACCACATATCACCTCCCCCTCCAACCACCCCCACCTATCATTAAATGAAAATGCTCAGCTAGCTCAGAGAGCCTTGCTAATACTGCATTTTACATGGAAATATATCACAGTGCAGAAGGAAATGAGTTAAGATTTCTGATTCATGGTGACTTTAATACTGAATTTAGTTAATTTGTTAATAATTAGTAATTAACACTGAATGCACTGATTTGTCAGTGAGAGTTTACATACAGATGTTGCATATTGCAGCCTGAATGTAAGTAATACGAGAGGTTTTAAATGGTGATGTTTCTTACCAAACTGTTGGGTAGTCCAAGTTTGAAACAGTGGTGCTGGTCTTCCTTTCGCACCATACTGAAACATCTCCAGTTCACATATTCCCTTCTCAGCAGAGACCATCTTCTCCATTTTTGACAGAATGTGGGCCTATGGAGGAGGAAACATTTAATGCTACATATGACTGTTACAGGGTTTCCATAGTCCTTGAACTTTTCAGGAAAATAGCATGGTAGGATTACATTTGAGAAACATTTATGGTAGGATCCAGTAGATCCTCTACTGTTAGACCCTCATATTACCACACAATTCATACCATTTTGTCTACAATATTCTGTAGATTGACACATTCCTCCTGTAGCTCCTGACTGCTCTGATTCACTCTTCTCTCTGAAGCAGCTACAGATGAGCCGTCCTCTTCCATCACAACATCAGGCTCTTTCACAGACCTGTTTCAGGTGAAGAGCAGATGTGTTTAAAAAAAAAAGAAAAAGAAAGAAAGACCTATTATAAAGATAAAGATCACAATTAAAAATGAACATTATTACTTTTCACTTATTCTGTAGTTAACGATTCTAGTTGCAATGGTCGATCCCTCATCATTCAGACGGTCCCACTTCAGGATAAGGTTATGCCAGTCTGCAGCATTGTCCTTCAGTTTTCTGGCACTTCCGGTCAGATTGCCTTTTCTTCCAGGAGTCGTGGCCTCAGAATGGTTTTCTGATTACACATGGTATTTAAAAAGAGAATGAGGGGGAAAAAAAACAACAACTGCATTTCAGGGGCTAGACAATGTGCAAAAATATAGCATGATGATACTGTATGACATTTTCATGATACACAGTGTGTATCACAATATGTACTTTCAAAAAATGATCCACACTGGACAGATGTTCAGATTAGACCAACTTCAGAAAAACATTGGATATCAGCTCTCTTGCAATTATTTTGCATTTCGCATTGGGAGCGCAGTGTCATTTTTTTAAACCACGACCCCTTAGGGGCTCCATACAATACGATGTTAGTGATGCTATAGTGACTAAACTGCACTTGGTTCATTTATCACGACTGTCATTTTCAAGACCGCACAATTTTTGTGAAGAAACTGTTGAGCCTTTGGAGGGTCGTGCTCGGTTTTTTTTTTTCCACTTTTAGAAGCTCTTAAGTAGTACCGTAAAGTGGGGGGATTACAAGAGGAGTTTCTTGCTCTGAAGTGAGCTACAACTAACCAAAGGCGCCTTTTCTCTGTTATTCTACACAACTTCAACATGTGAAACCGACCTGACTGAAGACTACGGACTGCATACTAAGTCTGAGGTAAACTGAAGCCTCTAAACTGGCGAAGGAAACTCTGAGGGTAACGTGAGATGCTACACATGCTGCACAGCTAACGTTAGCTTGTGTGTACGGTTAGCATAAACACTCAGATATGAACATGAAAGAACTGAAATGCATGCTTCTGGTTTCAAAGAGCAGCCAGCTAACAGTTCCTACGTCTCCTATAATTCTTACCGTCCATTTGAACTCGGCTGTCATTAATATAATATGGCAGGTAAAGAAAAACTGCGGTCAGTAATCTTTACAGATTTTGGTGTCGCTCCATGTTTCTTTTCTTCTAGTTCTCCCTCTGGCAGATTAAACTCGTTACTGCCATCTACAGATGAGACATGGCTTTGCGATTTTTAATCTAATATAGTTTTCCGAACTGCACAGTTTCACTACTGAGATGATGTTCTGTGTATGTTTAATTGGGCCACTTCTTTGAGACCATGTCGTTTCCATGCAATCGATCTGGGAGCTGTTCACCACAGTTCACCGCAGTGGTGCCCAAACTGGTCCCCTGTCCAGCACATTTTAGTAGGACATTGCCGGACAAGTGGTACCCCAGGGCTAAGTTTGGGAACCTGTGGTTTACTGGAAGGATTTGGGTTCTTGAGTGCATACTACTAATTTACCAGGGCCTCAGGTTTTGAGCTGACTGACACACAAGGGTTCTGTCCAAAATGGCCTACTACATACTGCTAACATACTGATTGTGACTGACATGAATTTTTCCTGTGTGCCATAGTCACATGGATGATGTACTACGCTGGCCAAATATTCTAATATGCAGCCACAGCTATCTTTGTGGTACACTACATCTTAAATTGAAACTAGGTCATCATAGTAGGATGTAACCGCCTGGTGGTCATGTGACCCCTTAGGACTGCACACAGCAACACTGCTTTGTCTGATCCACTTGTACCATTGCAACACACACTAACACACAACCACCTCATCAGTGTCACTGCAATGCTGAGAACGATCCACCACCTAAATAATACCTGCTCTGTGGTGGTCCTGACCATTGAGGAGTAAAAGGGAGCTAACAAAGTATGCAGATGAACAGATGGACTACATTCTGTAATTGTAGAACTACAAAGTGCACCTTTATAAACTGAAATGGACAATGAGTGTAGAAGCAAAGAGGTGGTTTTAATGTTACGGCTGGTCAGTGTATGTCTGCATTATGATATCTTTATCTGCACATCACTGATGAATAATTAGACCCATTTGTTCCTAATTACAGATTCTTCAGGAACGGGGGCAGACAGCTGGGTTGCGGCACAGTGTCTGGCGATGGAGGATGAGGCCACTCGGGCTGTCGTAGAAATACTGCTTTCGCTCCCGCAGATCAAGATCAAGCTGCCACTTTGCTTTCCAGCATTAGTAGCTGTGAAGTTCCCTGTGATATGGGAGAGGAAGGACACGGGAGCAGAAGGTAGCAGCAGAGCAGTTGCTTTAACAAGGTTTCTTCTCAAAGGGGTTGTGGCTTTTCAGCCAATATCAACATAAACTGAAAGATAAGACAAAGACAAAAGGCTTGCTGTGAACCTGCCTCTTCTAGTTACTGTTACTACTGCTGCTGCTGTGCAGTGATTCTGTCTCACTCTCTCCTTTCACTGCAAGAGAGATTCACATAAATAGCTGGTAGCCAAACCACACACACACAAAGCCTAATCAGCCCACCTCTTCACCCTTTCTCGCTCTCAGTCTGGCAGGTAACACTAGACCATGCCCCTCTGCCAGCCACAGGAGCAAAACTGTAAGTTACTGTGTTCTTTTGAGGAATAAAAACATACTCAATGTATTAAGTAAGAGTGTAATATTTTCAATACAGATTTAAAAAATCTAAAATATTAACAACTGAAGCAGTGTAACCAAATTTAAACTTGGATAGTCCCTCTGTCTCTTCATTGTGTCTTTCATCTGTCATCTTTCACAGAAACCACTGTCAGTAATCACAACTAGGCATTTGGCACTATCCTATCCTAGGCTGAATTGAGATAGGAGTGGGGAGAAGGGTATGCTGGGGCAGTGGTTTTCAAACTGGTCCCCTGGGACCCTCAGATTTTTGCTTCTCTCGCATTTTTGCGTGATTCTTGTGTGTTGAGGGGTTGGGTTTGAGCAAATACATGGACCGTTTGGGGCGTCCTTGCTGACTGGTTTGAGAACAGCTGGGTAGGGTTTGTAGGGGTTGTGATTTTTGAGGCTTATAAAAGTTTTTATTTTGTGCTATTAAAACAACATTTACTGTTGTTATTGACTGGTGTCCAGTTGTTTCCCCCCCAACCTATGTGTAGGTTTATGCATCCTCATCATGTAAATGCTGTGGTTTTCCTTTACAGTATAATTGACCTTTTTAAGGCAGGCATTTTGCCTGACTTTGTACTACCGAGTAATTTTTTTAAAAACGCTAATTAAAACATAGAGATTTGTTTTTAAACAGTGTTTTAAAAAACATTTGAAACAATTAAAATGTTAATATTGTTGAAAGTGAATACAAGCTACTAGTGAGCAGTTAGCTTTATACAAATAAGACTGTTTATCACTGTTTATTACTTTGGTTCCTTTTCGATTTTTATGGGTTTTGTACAGCTTTAGGGAAAATTGGGTGCCTGACAAGAGCACTTGAGGAGCTTTTGCTATGGGCCTTGAGGAAGAGCCCAGACTGTGCATTGCTGCCTGTGAGGCCCTGAAGACTTGAGGCCTAAAGGGTCCCAAGCTACAGCATCACCTGCAGGAGTGCTTTGTCCTGGAACCCAATCCTCAGGTTCAGAGGTCTGAGCTCAAATTATACTGTGCCACTTTTAGCATAGAACTTTGTAGAGTGTTAAAATTAAGGCCCTTTCTTGCTCTAAGCCAGGGGTCTCAAACTCAAATTACCTAGGCAGCACTGTTAAAGTGGTTAGGTCCAAGATAGGGCTGGTTTAAAAAATGCCAGAGAAAAGTGTCCTATATTTTTTCCAAGTATGACTTTCAACAACATCAAGTTTTCCCATCTTGTTTTGTCCTGTGGGGGTCCTGACCACTGAAGAACAGGGTGAAAGGGGTCTAACAAAGTATGCAGAGACTACTGTCTACTTGTAGAACTACAAAGTGCACCTGTATGGCAAGTGGGGCTGATAAAATGGACAATGTAGAAACAAGGAGGTGGTTTAAATGAAATGGCTGGTCTGGGTATACTCTGCTCCTTTTAGGATGCACATTGTCTTTTTTTGTTCTGATACTTTAATTTGAAAAAAAAAAAATGTCAGAAAATATTAATTTTACCAACAGGGGTCCAATCTGTGCACCATCTATTAGAGTTTTTTTGTGATCTCGTTTTTGGACACATGCAAATTATCTTGAATTATTAAATATTATTGGGTTGATGTTTTGTTTTTGTTTGTTGATGGTTGCTTTTCTCGGGCAGTTTTTTGGTTTATCATTTGTCTAAAAGAAGAATATTAACACAAATCGGTTTTCCAGTCAGGTTGGAAGTGTTTTGTTCCTTTATTGTAAACTTTTTTTGCACAACAAAGACATTAGCAACAATGTTCCAGCTTTATAAGCAGGGGTTTCCGTAACACAGCCGACTGTGTGATTTTATGTGCCAATGATGATTTGCAAAGTGTTTATGTAGTAATATAGTGGGTCACTCAGTATGTGTTGGATGCTGATTGCTGCTGTGTGACCTAGGCTGATTGCTGTCGCTCATGGTAATGCCGTCCTCCTCTGATTGTGTGAGGCAGTACAGTTTGTATAGGCGCTCGGCCAGTTGGTCAGCTTCCTCTACCCCCTCGCAGCTCTTCTGCCAGCTTTGGGGAATGGCCTCGATGCCGTAGTGAGCCCCTGCGATGGCACCTGCCATGCAGGCGATGGTGTCTGTGTCTCCTCCCAGGGCTAAGCTGTAGGCTATTGTCCTCTCCAGGCCACCATACCGCTCTGGCAGGCCCTCCCGTGGCTCCAGACAATGCAACACGCAGAAGATGGCCGTGGGGACAGACTGCAGGGCTGCGATGCCATTCCCTATGCACAGAAAGTGTCACTTCAAATTGTCACGTCAAAGAGTCCACTATGAAGTAAGTCCACTGTTTGGAATCACCATTCAAAAAAAATCAAGGATTTGTAACCTTGCTCCACGTAATATACCACAAATTTTGTTGCAAATATATCTATATAAAACATCTAATATGTTAGTCTTAGTAGGAACTAGGAAACTAGGAAACATAAACAATATTTTAGGTGTGTCCAGGATGATGAATGGAACTGTAGATGTTTCTAGCACGACTGAGAAAATCTTGTATAGGACCTAGAATGTATTTGTAATATAATTAGCATTCAGAAAGCCTAATACTTCAAAAATGATAGTCAAGTCTCGAGGCAGATAACTTGACAAAAATACAGTATATTATTCATCATTCAACTTTGTTGTTCCCAAAATACCTGAAATACTACTTTTTGATACTGATATCTACATAAGCTGTATGATAAGCTACATCATAGTGTACATAAAATTTTCATTCTTTCATTAACTTCTAGAGTACTGTAACCTGTTACTGACTGGTTACCCTGCTGTCTAAATAGGCTCCACCTATTTCAAAATTTAGCAGCCCATACGCTCACCAAGAAAAGAAAGTCAGAGCATATTACTCTGGTCTTATTTACTCTAAACTGGCTTATTAGCCCCTTAAAATTCCAGGCTTATTACATACTAAGGCTTATTATTCAGTAATTGCAGGGACTTCAGTGCAAACTGGCTGAGCTATTCTTAGGTTATAGAAGTGTGTAATAAAACTTCAATCTGACCATTTAATGGGTTATGCACCACACTGACTAGAGAGTCTTGCTTATGACATGTAAAGCACTTAATGGCCTAGCTTCAGCATATCATTCAGGTTTAATGCAAATTTCTAGGATCCCTTAGAGCTGGGTTGGTGGAAGATCCCTATCTTACATAGCTCCTAAAATCTGGAATAGTTTACCATGTTAGGAAAGCTATTATTTCTTTAGGCTAGGAATTGCTTGGCTTATTGGTTCTCTTTTTACTTTTAAAATTCATAAATAAATAATTTACTTCTCATGTATACTTTACTGTTTGTTAATTTAATGTTTTGCTATTTCCTGTAAAAAAAACACTTCTGTAACTAAAAGGAAAGGCTATGTAGATTCTTCTTCTTCTTCTTCTTATTATTATTATTGCCATTAAATAAAATATCATTATGCCTTTGAGCAGGACACAAACAACAAATTAACATGAAAAGCAAACAACGGAGAACTAACCAAGTTCCGATATGACCTCTTCAATGCTCACACTGCCCCGCTCTATAAGCTCCTTGACTC